ACAGTACTTAATTGGAAACAAACTGTCATAAAACATTTTTGCAATGATTTATATTAACATTTAATGGTGCCTCATTCACATAACCTATAGAATCGTTCTCATCCAGTCTATCTAGCTATCACCACTTTCAGCATAATGATTTTACATCTTTTGCACTTCCCAGCATTCATGTACCTATTCTAAATGACAACCTGTTGACTGTCTGCCCCCTCAGCACAATGTAAACAAACCAATCGCTGCTTTTTTCTTTTATTACTGTAGACATGGTAGAGCTGAATATATCTGATATATCCATGTGCTTTTGTTTACCTCTCAGACTGTAATATATGCTTTATTTGTTGATTCCTTTGGAGAATATATATCTCATGAATAATGCACATTTGCATCTCAATGTTTTTTTTTTATTTATATGCCCTGTTCACACGGAGAGTTTAATTCGAATTAAACGTAAAGTTACTGCGAATTAGCTTCACTTAGCGTTCACACGGAGACTTTAATGCGCATTATTTTAATTCGAATTAGTTTACCGCACATTAAATTACTTTGCATTAGCTCCTTGTGAACGCAAAGTGAAGCTAGTTCAAATTAAATTCTGACGCATGCGTAATGGCAAAATTTAGTCAAATACCACTTGTCGGTGGTCAGCTATAGGTACTTGTGCTATTTTTGAGTGAAAAACCTAAGAAAATTTTGTTAATCATTAAAATGTGTATACAGACACTTTGCCATTATGTCAAATGGATCTGCTTCTGCATAAGGTGACGTGATTTGTAAATGACGTCATAATAGCCGTGTTTATGCCGGGCTGCTGAAGTAAAATTTTTAATTCGCATTAGTTTACTTCGCATTAGCTGTCGTGTAAACGCAATTTAATTCGCATTAGTTTGATTCGCGTTAGTTTACTTCGCATTAATTTACTGCGAATTAAACTCTCCGTGTGAACAGGGCATTAGTTCAACCTCAGTATTCAGGAAAAATTGGAAAATCCTCTAGGTGACAGACATGTTCTTATAATTACATGATATAAGCTGAACTGTAGATTATAAAATAAAATGAATGGAACTTTTTTTTTCATTTTTAGATATTCTTGAAAAGATAGAAGAATTGTTTTATAAGGGTTTTAACTACCGTTTAATCCATTATTTGATCCAGAGAAACCACAACTGTGATATAAGGTACTTGCAATACAAAATATTTAAACATATGTTCAGAAGTCTAGTTATGTATCATGAATTTTAACCAGATACATAAATCGTCATTCAGTGATGATGCTTTTTTGTGAATAAAATTTGCAGTTATAATTGCCTAACAAGAAAAGTTCTACCTAGACTTGGTTTGAAAAGGAGGCTTGCAGACATTGCTTTGGATGAAATATTTGATATTGCACAGGTATTAATTTTATTTCTTAGAAAATTGATTAATATAAAGGTGCGCATGCAGGTTAAATTTTTCTGTTTTTTTTTCTTTGTTGTTATAAAGTAGTTCTTTAATTAAAGTTTAGAACACAATGATTAACTTATTTGTTGAATGTTAATGTTTAAAAGATGTATTAAATTTGACATATTTTAGTGGAATTCATATTCCCTGTTGGTAAAATTACATAATGTACAATGACATGTATTTTAGAAGAAGAAGTGTACTATTAAATTCTGAAAATTATGCTAAAAACTTGCATATTTTAAAATACACATAAAGTTGTACAGAGATGCTTATCATCCATAACTCAGCAAACCTACTTGCAGTTTTCAATATTCTGTAGAGAGAAATACTGAATGGATGTTCAGGTGCTGAAAGTCTAAGAAGAGTAATAAAAATGAAACACCACCTGAATATTACCAGGTAAGTATGCAGCCAAATTCATTTTGTACAAACACAGATATTGCGAATTCATGGATATAGCAAAGTCATCTTGGATCCCCAGCTATGTAAATTTAATGAATTCCTAATACAGATAGAATGAATTTCGGTTATTGCGAAGTAATTTCATAGGTCCCAGTGACTTTGTTATAACTGAGTTTAACTGTACCGGTAATCAAGCTAGGTCAATCCATTCTTCCATCCATCATTCTATGAGTAAATACATCTAAACATGCAAATATTATGATGATATATTTACATTTACAATGTCTTTGTCCCAGATAAAATTACAAATAGTTAATGTACTTTATTTCTCCATCATTGTACTGGTTCATTGATAGGCACGGTTAAAATAAAATTACATGCAGGGCGGGACAAATAGAGACAAAAGTGGGGCCGAAGTTAGCCGAATCAAGAGAATGTAAAAGTAAGGATAACCGTCAGATTTTTTGATTTCATGACGATGATCAATCGATCGGCTTGTGTGATAATTTATGCATATGCAAAATATCACGCAAGCCAATAATTGATCACAATAAGAAATGAAAAATTAGGCAGTTATTCCTTAAATACTTTCATGTAAATAAGTTGAATCTGAATCATTGAGAAACATTTGATAAAAACACTATATTCCCATGAATGATTAAACCATGCCCTTTAATGCAATAGCATATAGCAACAGCATTAAGAAATGACAAAGGACGCTTCCAAAAATTGTTGACTGCATGGAATCTATAAGCATGTATATATTTATATTTCATGAACCATTCAGTAAATTATAATTAAATAGTCTTTCAGTAGAGAGTTATCAGTTATATTGAAAAATTTAACCCTTCAAAAACCATTGTTTAAGACTGGCTGAGCCTTGTTTGATGGCAGTTATCTTGGGTTCACGAGTTTTGATTTTGACCTCAGGAATAGACAATAGTTATAAAATTTTAATACATTAAATGAAATAAATGTTAAATAATGCAGGTCCATAGCAAGAGACATAGTTCATCTTTTGGATAAAGATGGGATAAACAGAAGGAAGCAGAGAAGACTGAGAAGAAGGCAATACTTTAGTAAGGTACAGACAGAAAAATCAGAGAAATTATGAAACATTGATCATTTCATTATTCATTAATGTATTAATTTCTTAAATGTGAATCAATTCAACACTTAAAACCTTGAAAAATATATGCAATGAAAAAAAGTGAAATATTATTGGTACATGTACTTTACAGCAGGTTAAAATGGCAATTGGAAAAGATAGCGACTTTGTTCAATTTGTATTAAATCAATATGGTTTGAATTCCTGGAAAGGAAATGTTCTACATTTTTTTTCCCCAGCAATGCAAGTGTTTGCCTTGCATCGTATGACATGTCTTTTCTGAACCTTATTAAATATAATGAAATATTGGATAAATACCAATTCAATTTGAAGTCCAAGCTTTAAATTGTTATGATTTCTGAATAATTTTATTTTCTCCCTGTTTTTTTCCTTTTCCCTACTAATAGTGGTGTTGTTGTGAACTGTTAGTATAACTATATAAATGTGTAACCCTTTTATTTTTGACTACATGTAAATGCTTTGATTTAAGGTAAGACAAAGTAATAAGCACAAGTAAATTTTAAATCTGTGTCCTTTGTGGGTAATTACTTTATGCGTCTACTGGATGGCACTATTAAATGTAAGTTCTAGAAATATATTTATCAATTAATCATTAAATAAATTTAGCTTTAAGAAGAAGAACAATTAAATTAATATGTGTAAGTGATTAAATTAACCCATAAACCTGCCAGTGGATTAATTTTTACCAAGATGGTCTACATTTGTTTCTCCTCTTTATTAATGACTGCTTTTATGTTTGCAATGAAACACAGAGAGAATTTAAGAATCTAATCAAAGACAACAGTACTGGGTAATATTTCAATTTATCATTATTTTTTTAAAAATTATTTACTATAGGATCAAATCACGGGGTTTTTATTTCTGCCAATATAGCCAATAGTATCTGGGACAATTTGTGCTATACGTACAATATGTATATGAAAGTTAGGGACAATTAATTATACAATATTTGTACAATGTGTATTTATATAGGGTCCAAATTTTGTGTGGCATTTGGGTAAGTGTAATATTGCCTTCCTATGGCTCATGAATGAAGAGTTAAATTCAACCCTGTTATTTTTGGAACTTTTATAATTTGATTAGATGTAGTAGGTTGTGTAATTTATTTTTAGCTCACGATTATGATGTCAAGATGTTATGCTTTACTGTTGGCATTGGCATTAGCGTCACATCGCTATAAAAGTTTTAGAAGCAAGTCCATTTGGAAAGTTTAATTCCTATCTAGACTAAATTTGCAGGGATAATGCATATATGGATGGACACTACCTGACTTGCTTTAGATGCTGGATCTGCTCTACCTTTTCAAGAAGAGTGACCAGGATAAAGTTTTTGGTGCAAGTCCATTCCCAATCAAATATAAGCCCTACCTGGACCAAACTTGCAGAAATGATACATCTAGGGATGGACACTATCATAATTGCTTCAGATGCACGATCTGACTTGCATTTCTCAGATGATTGACTAGGTTAATGTTTTTGAAGAAGGTTCATTTCTTTACATCAATCTAATTAAAATTAGATGTTAGATCCGTTTGCATACTCGCTACACTAACGTCTAACAACATCCCATAGAGGGTCCGGTCACGTCAGAGGTTATACATGTATTGATTTTGGAACAGCTGTAGACTTATTCGCTTCAACAATATACAATGATTTGGCAGGCGACAATTTGATTGGTTGATAGAATTTGACCTCAGATGTGACCCTCAATGGAATGTTGTTAAATGGTAGTGTAGCGAGTATGCAAGTGGATCTAACATCTAATTTTAATTAGATTGTCCTATACATGTAACTATAATCCCTACTTGGACCAAACTTGCATGGATACGCTACCTTTTCTGCTTCAGATTCTGGATTTGCCCTATATTTTCCAGAGTAGTTGATTTTAGCCATACTCTAACTTAGCATGGACGATGCTACTACGAATGGACGCTTAAAGACTTTTTGTAGATTGGAGCATCATTGTTTCATAAGTACACATTTTTTTCTTTTAGTAGACATCTGCCCTAAATGTCAGTCATGTCAATAAAAGATATTTGAAATAGGTTTGAAATGCTTAAAATTAAACAAATATATTAAATGGTTTAACTTTTTCTGAGACACCTGCAAGCAGAAATTAAACTGTAATTCCAAAACATGAAACTGCATTTATAGATGGATATGACAAATTAAAGCCATATGGTATAAGCATTCATGGATGCATTGATGGGTAACGTTATAACTTGATTTGTTGTTTTGTTTGATTTTAATTTAAATATTCCACTCTATTAATCAATGTATTCAAATACAATATGTTTTTCACAAAAAAGGGAATTTCATGTGGTTTTTACAGTTTCATATTTAAAACTTTAAATTTTCATTTGGACTGTATAATTGTAGACATATTGATTTTGAAGCATTTCCTTTTCAATTAATAATTTTTTTTTTTGGTGTGGTTTGATTTAAAGTGAGTTCTACATGGATTTCTCATAAAAGTATATTAATAATTTCTGAAATCAAAATTTTAACCCATTGCCTAGATACAAACAGAAACCATCAAAATTTTAATTTTTTTTTTAAACACTTTCTAGAAGCTTAAATGTGGTTTTCTAATTGGATTTTGTTCATCTGTCTGCTTGTCTGTCTGTAAACATTTAGTATTTCTCAAGAAAGCTGGACTGATTTTAATCATACATGCCCTTGGGTGAGGGAAGATAATTAGGTTTTGATGAAAATGCAGTGAATTAAAAAGATCTTCCTCTCAAGAACCACTGGACAAGATATCAAAGTTTTCTGAAATAGAGTTTGCGCATTATTTTCTTCATTGTAGTCTCTAGGGTTACCTTAAATCTGGAAATTTTTATGTCGATTTTATTTTGCGAATTTGGGTCAAAATGCTGTTGATTAATTTTTGCGTTTCAAAATCTTGCGAATGACCATTGCTTTGTTTACATTTTTCTTATTGGTGATTTAATTTTCTTATTGGTGATTTATTTTTAAGAAAAATATTTTTGCGAATGCAATGCACTCGCAAATTTGCTAAAAATTTATCTACAGCAAAATTTTCCAGAATTACGGTATAGTGGGACAAAATAGGTTATCAAAGTTTTACAATGGAAAATGTATGAAAACCTTGGAAGGAAAGCAGCATAGCCCAGCAATGATTAGTCATACTCAAATAGAAGCATTTCATATTTGACATTTTTTTGCCCCACCATGAATATCCCATTATATGGCCAAAGCATATATCATTTATTATGTCCGTCTTCTATCCTTTGCTCTTTCCAACCTTCCATTATGTTCTTCTGTCACACTTTGATAAGTTTTTTTAAAAATATCTTGTTTTAACTTTCATGAGAAAGACTTGATTTTATTTGTTTATTTTCAATCTTTCATCTGCTTTATTGCAAATGTTGTTTTAAATTATTGATGGGATCTACAATATTCACATAAATGGAAAACTTTCAATTACAAAATCTACTTGCTTATTTTGCATATACATGTTTGTAAGAGAAAAATATAGTGTCTTTCTGAGACCATACCACTTTGTATATTTAAAGATTTTCCCGGCAGTTAATATGGCTGGAAGCAGATGTGACTAATAAAAGACCAGAGGTTGTAGCCGAATACTTCCTGAATGCAGTGCATGCTATGAAAGGTATAGTGTCAGAATCACCAGGTACTATGTTTAAAGACAAGTTACAATAGCAAGTGCTTCAAGAAATAGCCACATAGCATCATTTTTGAAAGTGGGAGACCAGCCAGCCAAAAAAAAGAGGTAGCAGCCAACTTTTTCAATGCCAACCTCTTTCAGTACCAATTTTTTCGACCTACAATACTACATTTTCCTTATGTCACAAAAGGGGGGGGGATGTCAACCAGCCTTTCAATGAACATTTCCTATAGTATAAGTAATATTGGGATAAAAAGTGCTTCCCCCCTTGCTACGTGCCTGAGAAATGTCAATTGATTTCTCAAATTAATCCACCAAAATGTCAAAATACATGTTATGAATTTGAAGGCAGGCATATATTGATATTAACATATTTTGTCTTTTAAGGTTGTCCTCAAAAAATACGTGCTGATCCTGGTACAGAAAATGGAATCATAGCAACATTTCAATCATTTTTAAAGACAGATGCAAGTGCAGTATCTTTTGGAACTTCTACCGCAAATCAGGTTAGCATTGTACACCTCCAAAACGCACACAGATTACATTTTCTGGAAAGAGAACCTTTCATATGTCCAAGTTTAAATATTTTTTTTTTTACAAACATTAATTGTAGAGAATTGAAAGATTTTGGGGCATTTTAAGGCAAATGAAAGCAGATTTCTGGATTGATCATTTCAAAGTAAGTTATTGCTACATTTCAAAAATTAAAAAAAGTTTTTCTTCTTTTATTTATGGAAAACAAGTACTTAACTGACAAAAGTTACATTATACAGTGTATTAACTATGTATTTTGTTTATAGTTATATGTATGGCCATAGTAAATATAAAAAATACAAAAATATATCTTTGGAATTTACTATTAGGGATTGGTATATGAAGAACTGCTGGAAACAGGAAATCCTTTACATAAGTATGTATAGATTTAAAAAATATGTATACTTTGTGCTACGCTCACCTGACCAAGGATTTCAGATGAGCCTTCTTGAAAAGAAATATTAGATGTACAATTGTACATGTCTCTTTATTTTTTCTTGAATTAGAATGATACCCAAAATGATAATGTGTTTTCTATATATCTCTGTATTATTTACATTTTATAACTCCTAGTCGCGCTGCAAACATGATTCATATTTCAAAACTTTACTATTATTCTTTGGGTACGGAACAATAATGGAAGAGCCAATTTAACAGCTACATTCAATGTGAGCATTAAATTCCTATTTTCGGTCATTACATTGCACTTTTTTTCACGAAATTTTTTCATTTTTCTTGCAGAATTCAGTGTGCATGTTAAAATTCATAAAATCATGGGACACTATAATTTCTAAAATAACACTCTGACTTACATGTAGTGCAACTTCATGTATATAAGCATACACCTCGGTATATACATGTAGCCTTATAACTGAATTTGATCAAGTGAGGAAGGAAGTCTCTGAATTTTCATGTGACAGCGTGACTCAGATGACTCAGATGAGAGGGTTGGTCAAAGGTCACTTGCATACCTTTTTATTTAATGAATGAAATGCAAGTAAATGTTGCTGCTACTGAAGTGTAATTACCCATACTTATACATACATCAAATGCATTTTTTAGATCCTGTATACAGTTTGTTTATCTTCCACTCATAAAGAGAGATCTGAAAGATATAATGAATCAGTGGAATACCCATTCCATACGAAGACAGAAGCTGGGAGATACCTTGCATGGAATTCCAGAAGTATTGTTTCAAAACCCTGAAGTTGTTGGTATGAATAAATTATAAGCTATACCAGTAAAATTATTTGTGGCATCAGTGTTTGACAAACACTTCTAGTTTGAATTATTAAACATATTCCAAAAAATGCTTAGTATAAATACTTGCATGAAGACATTTATCTATATACATGATTTAGCAAATCTTACTTTGCTAAAAGTAATAGAAAAGGAAGCACATACATGAAAGGCATTAATTGTATATTCATTTGGTTCTTGTTTTTTATCCTTATGTACCAAAAGCTCACAAAAATGATTGAAAATGCATCATATGCAACTCTCTTAATTATTTTACTCATTTTTCAGGTGCGTCAAACTACTTACATGCTGTTCAGAGAGATGTTGTGACTGAGTTACAGAGACTTGTCAGAAATAATTTCAAGGAGATTGATGAGGATTTTGCTTCCGTAGCTTCATCTATTTTGTTGCATTATAATTTGCCTTTCCCAGTCAACATTACGAACATGACCTGTGCTCGCCATCTGTACATTTTTCTAAGCGAGTTCATGTCTCTTTTATTGAGTTGAAATAGTTATTATTGTGACATGTGTAGGAGAGCTAAAATGAACTTGTATATGTGATATATTTACTCGACTTTGCAGGATTTTACATCATTTGTGCTTTTCTTATAGTCAATAGGTAATTTATACTTTTAGCTACAAAAACAGTCAATTTTCAATGCTGTTTCTCAATATTTAATATAGAATGCAACCTCTGATCTAAAATAAGCAACTAGTAAATGATAGAACTGTTTATGAGGATTACAATTAAGGCATATTTAATTTTTTTTTTAGATTAGATTGTGTGCTTATATCTTTTTCTTCTCTAAAAGTACTAAAATATACCTGATTACATTAAAATTCAAGACCATTGCAATTCCATAAAGCTTTTGCTCCAAGACCCGGCCCCAAGATCATGAAACAAACTTAGACTTAGGTAATTCCACCCTCCTATGATGTCATAGATTTTCGCAAAAACTGTTTTTTAGTTTAAATTCATGCCTGATAGAACAATATCTTTAGGAGGAATGCTTTTCAATATGTGTACTTATAAATATTGTTAACAAAAAATTTTTTAAAAACGCATATTTTCTTAAAAAATGTTGACAAGGGCAATAACTCTTTCTCAGGTCTCTTCATTCAGACATTTTCTTTATTGTACTTCTAAAATAGTTTCCTGGATATTCACAATTCAAAAGTATTTTATATGTAGGAAATATTTAGGAACATTCAGCATCAGAATTATGCTTTTTAACGAGATTTACATATTTTTCATGATTCTGTTTACAAAAAATATGCGATTTTTTAGGTTGACATATACTTCTGCTTATTCATGTCTCCCATCTGTACAATTTTGTTTTTGTACTTTGAACCATTAGAATTGTGAGGGTGGAATTATCTTAAGTCAAATTTTCAATCTTGTATAAAATATTCATTAATTATGGAATTTAATTAGGAATTTGCAGATAACAACACTTCTGGGAAGCACTATTGAAAAAATATTTTAATTTTGGTATGCTTGACTTCTACAACATTTCATTCAAAAACAGATATTTTGACTTTAGCTTAGGATGCTTCATGATCTTGAGGCCCGGAGTAAGGAGACAAATTGTAATAGGAAATGAAAGTACTAAGTCTCAAATTTATGTTGATGATTAAAATGGAACAAAAAGTATAATCAATAAAAACTAGAGCGTTGCTTTAATTTCCCACATAAGAGTTGTGGCATATTACATGCAGTATAAGTATATGTGACTAGAGACAGACAAAGACAAAGTTATAATTATAGTTTATTGTTCATTTGAGAGAGAAAATTATTATAATAAACTGTAAAACTGTATTGGTAGAAAATTCTTTAATAAACTGTAAAACTGAATTTTGTTTCATGTCATGTACAGAGATTTACAAGGTTTTCTATAAGTGAAGTTTTTACAACAAGATTGGAATTGTGGGATAATAGAGATAAATAAGAACTGAGTAATAACAAGATAATGAGTATTTAAGAATTTTATTGACTTTATTAGGTCAAGGCTGTAAAAAAACTTGACAAATTCAGAAGAAAAACAGATTTTGTGTATTAATACATTTCACAAGATAATAATAGGAGGATTATGTTTTGGGCAGCTGTTGAGTAATCAGAGGTTTTGATTAAAGGGAGATAATTAAGTGTTATTTAGTTTTGGAACCACTGTGCCATACTTACCTTCCTGAGCTCATGTTGAGCTGTGTAACACAAGCCTTGCCATGAAAGATAAGATGATTCCTAAAGAGTTGGTAGAGGGATGGTCTCGGAGTGTCAAGTGTAGAGGACCCCATTACAATATGTTTAATTAAATATATGAAGTAAATATGTAATGATATTTTTTTGTTTGAAATCTCATTAAAAGACTTGTATGTTTGTGTTACTTGAAAAACACAGGCATGCCATTTTCATCAGTCAGTTGTTCTGATCAGTATCTGGAGAATCTTTTGATTGACTCTCATTTAACTTGTACACTAGTCCCACCCCCACCCTCTCCTGCATAAGTTAAAGCAGTATGAGCTGCAATTTTGAGAAATTGATTTTGCTGTTAAAATGTGTTATTATAATTAATTTGTATGTATATAATTTAAAACCTATGATCAATAAAACCAAATTAAAATTTTAAAAATGTTTCGGAAGAAATATTTCTGTACAATCAAATATATAGCATTACATGTAAATCAGAAATCAATATTGCACAGGACGAACGGTCAAACTATCCAAGTTATACAATGTTACTGTTATATATACAGGCAAAACTTAAAATATCAATGAAGAAAAGATATAAGATAACTATAGCTTTTATAAATTAATTGTATGATGACCTTACATTCAAGAATTAATATTCGTGTACACATTTTTAATTCAGACACATTTGTTAGATCAATGAATCCTACCTTGCTTGTTTGTTCATATAAACATCTTATCAGTGTATGAACATTGTAAGATGAGGTCAAGGTGACTTTCCATTTACCTTTGTGACCTATGCATAGTCATTTAATTGTCCCCCACTTTCGCGAAAGCGAGGGGACATTAAATCTCATTCGTCTGTCCATCCGTCACAAAAACTTGAACCTTGCCCTTAACTTTTGATTTAGTAGAGCTATGACTTTCTTATTTCACATGTTTATATATTCCTTATGACAAGACCTTTCTTTGGGTACCACCAAATTTGACCTTGGAGTTTGAATCACTTTTACACAAAAATTTTAAACTTTTACTAGGCCATAACTTTTGAACTGTAGATACTAGGACTTAAATATTTCACAAATGTATTTTTGTGGCAAGACCTTTCATTGGATACCAACAACTTTGACCATCTGACCTTGACCTTGGATATTTTCATACTTGTGAAAAAACTTAAACCTTGGTCATATCTTTTAAACGGTAAAAGCTAGGGCTTTCACACTTCACATACATAATCCTTGTGATATCTTTCATTGGATAAGAAGAATTTTTGACGTTCTGACCTTGACCTTGGCCTACTTTTTAAAAAACTTTAACCTTGGTCATAACTTTTGAAGAGTTAGGGAAAGGGCTTTCATACTTCAAATATATAATCATTGTGAAAAGACCTTTTATTAGATATCAAGAACTTTGATCCTCTGACCTTGACTGTGGCATTTGACCTACTTTTTAAAATATTTAACCTTTGCTATAACTTTTGAACGGTAAGGGCTAGGGCTTTCATACTTCACATATGTAATAATTGTGACAAGACCTTTCTTAAGAAACCAACAACTTTTACCCTTTGACCTTGGCGTTTGACCTACATTTCAAAAACTTATCATTGGCTGTAACTTTTGAACGGGTGGTGTTAGGGCTTTCAAATTTCACAATCGTATTTCATGTGAGAAGACCCTATTTAGGTACCAATATATTTACTTTGCTTTCAAGAAAATTGTTATCTTCTTGATGTTGCCATACGGGGTTATCAGTGTTTCACAAACACATCTTGCTCCTTTTAACATTTGATTGAAAAGAGATAGGGCTTTCATATTATATATGTGCATTACTTGTGACAAGATATTTCCGAGCATGATTATTTTTTTCTGACTCCTTGACCTTGACCTTTCACGATTGACCTATATTTAAAAAAAAAAAAACAACTGCGGTGATTGTTTCTAAATGATATATAATAGGGCTTTTATATTTGACTCAATATATCATTAAAAATGACATCACCCACAAGGACACTGAAAGCGGGGGACCACAATTCTTTGTATTTGCTTGTTTGTCTTGCATGAAGCTGTTTTGTATTTCAGGCTACACAAATGTCAGTTCTTGGGAGAAAGTTGATAGAGGCCTTCAGAGACCAGAGACATTGCGATGTAAAATTAAAGCTCCAAGATAATTTCATCATTGACGCCCATAAAACTGTATTAATTCTTGGATCGAAATGGTTTGAGGCCCGGCTTGGTGAAAAGTGGAATCAACCCAGTGGGGAATCGAACATAATTAATTGTAATGTTCATTCAAGTCAACACACAAAGGAAATGTTAGAGTTCTTGTATACTTCTGAAATACACATTACTTTAGATAATGTAGAAGAGATTTACCAGATTGCGGATTATTATACTGTTACTGAACTAATGGAGAAATGTTGCCTATTCTTGCAACAAAGCATTTCAAAAAATACTGTTCTGAAAATTTTAAATATTTCGCATGAAAATAACATTACAGATATAAAAAACAAAGGCCTGGAATATTTAGACAAGTATATTGAAGAAGTACTATTAAGTAGAACTACTGAAGAATTCCAAGAAATTCCTCTGGGATTGCTCTTGAACATTGTAAAAAGAGACAGTTTGTGCATTCATGAAGAACTTCTTTTTACTCACATAAATCTTTGGATTAAAAAAGTTCAAGAAGAAGACATTCCCGGTACATGGCGTGACATAAGTCCCTTTTTAAGGTTTGGAGTAATGTCAATGGACTTTTTTTTAGAAAATGTTGTCAACAAAGGTATCATTGACAATGATTTATGTGTAAAAATCATGGTGTACATATCAACAGTTAACAAACCAGTAGATTTACCAGAACAGTACTTCAATGTACGATATCAAATCACAGACCAGGACATTAGTATCCATCGCTTTTTACATCACAGTTTACATCCAACATGGGTTGTTGACAATTCCCTAAATGGAGACAGAATATCATTTACTATAAACTTGGATGATTTCTGTTTAAGAGGACTATTTGTATATGGTGCAGAGACTGAAGCAGGTCTTGTAGTGTCCATGTATCTTTATACTGGAAATGGCCAGCTTTTAGGAAAAAGCCAAACTAAGCAGAAAACCCCGCACTACAAAGAAATTCCAGTTATATTTCCTAAACCACTGCTTCTTGTTAAAGACACTGTTTACACGGTAGTTGTGCGGATAAGTGGAGGGCCCACTTATTATGGTAAAGGTGGCTTGTCAGATATAAATGTTCAAATGAGGGAGATAAACACTCTTAAAGTTACTTTCCAAGATGCTTGTGGAGATACAAATGTACAAACAGGACAAATTAAGGGGCTCATCCTGAGGAAACGTTAAAGTAATGAGTTTACAAGCTAAATCTTGAGATCCAAATTATGAGTAGTAAAGGAAACATAATTAATTGTTCAATTCATGCCTTTCTTTTTATGAATTTTATTAAATATGCACAATACAAAAATTATAATAACAGGTAAATTTTATTTTATATTTTTTTTATTGTACATGCATATCTGTAAAATTACACAGCCTTAATTTGTAATGGGTCCATGTATTTGAAAAATCAACTGAAATGTTCTTCCCTTAACACAAATGAAATATTACCTTGTATAACACTAATACATATTTAGATAAAACCTTGTCTAATGAAATTCTAAAAGTAGGCCAATCTGACATTCATTTTGGTTAACACATTCTGACAGCCCAAGAAGATCAATTAACTGACAAAGTTTAATGATCAAAGCATAAGAGTAATTTAAATATCTAAATATTGCCTTGAAATTTCGAAAGTAGATTACAGTGACCTTCTTTTTCATTGAATAATTTTGAGGACCAAATATGAAGCAACTGACAAAGTATGTTGATTTGAAGCCAATTAGTATCTGATAATATTCAAAAAGTAGGTCACTGTGGTCTGAAGAACTTAACACTATAAGACTTAAATTCTATTCTGCTTATTTTCTATTTTACATTGATTAAAAAATTTATTTAATGTTTTTAAAAAGAATATGGCAAGATATTTTTATGTTCACAATGGCAAACAAAATAATTTTAAAAAATTTTACAATCAACTAAAATATTTGGTCTTTTTTTCTCAATTTGCAGAATGAAGATGCATATTACAAAGCAACTCCTTTGATTGCACAACAAAAAGGCTTACTGTGATGGAATGAAAACAAATGATAAACACTATATTCGGACACCATATCATGGTTGGGGACCTAAAAATACTGAATAGTTTCCCAAAAATCATCAAATAGAAAATGTTTACAAATTAGACAGGCATTCTGATTTCAGTAAACTTTGGTTAGGTCAACATTTTTTTTTTTTTTTTGATTTTTAGGTTTACAAACATCAGAATGAAAAAGTCCTGTAAGAGGAGGAAAAAAATTTGGGGGGGGGGGATAAATTATTAACTTTTGTACATTCATTTTGTTTCTTTTTTATGCTATCCAAACAGTATCCTTGCCACTGGACACATAATGGTTATAATTAGGAAACTTCATCATCTGCCAGTTTGGACAAGTGACATAAATTTTAGGATGTTGATCAAAATAGATTTAAAAAAATCAATTCTTTAAAACTCTTTTTAAATATCTTCATTTTTTAAATACATGTATGTGTTAGTTGAATGTGTAGACATTGTTCTAAACTAAACACGAGACCCAAAATTATATTTCGTATCGTAAAATATACAGGGAGTATATTGGGGAGTAGGATGAACATTTTTTCAATTAAGTGTAAAATATTTTTTCTGGCTGCCACAAACTACATACCTGTATATATTGCTTTTTATTAATAGTTAAAATTTTAAATTTTTTCAGGCTATTGTTTATTTCTTTCTCACTTCTCCATAGTTTTATTCATTACATCAGATGTATAAGAGACCATTTTCTGAAGAATTATGCTTAGACTGTAAGCTATAACAGAGACCTCAACAATGTCGTTGGCAATAGCTACCATGGGCAGTTTTAATTTACATGTACTTCTGAATACGAATTTATAATTACCTCACCAGAATGTCAATGTGCAACAAAGTCATCAGCATTTTAAATTAAACATAGTTTTTTTTGTAACATTATTATTCTATGTCAATAATTTATTTTCAAATGGAATATGAATACCAGGGTAGATAAAATTAGCCCCTCAAAAAAATACAACAAATTAAAGTCAGGTATATTATTTAGCAACATCCTGTAGTGTGATCTATTTTTAACTAAAATGTCACCTTCATTATAACTATATTTTAACAGTATATAATGAACATAATAAACATCGATAGTCATTTATCCAGTTGATATATCACTACTTTTTACAACCTAATTATACAACTTCATGTTGATTCCTATGAAGCCTACTGCTGTGAAAATTTAAATCCTGTTGTTATCTCAAAATATTGTCATTCTAAGCAATTATACTAAGAAACATGATAAAAATTAATGTAAAAATGTTCTACTTGAAGAATTTTAAACACAAAAGATTTAAAAATTAATTGGGAGAGGCGGAAGGGAGATTTTGTCTCCTGCTGGAAGAATCACTGTATGTAGTTATGTAGATCCCTGGCACCAAGTCTAGTTTTTCTTCAAAAACACATTCCCAAAGAAGGTCATTGTTTCATCCACCAGATAATTCTGAAATGTATAAATATAAAAGAATCAAAATTGTTCATTGACATCAGTAGCTGTAGAATTGTAGATAATGGTTTTACATGACCTTTGACTATGATCATTGTCCAGTATGCTGCAGATCTTGGTGCAACAATGTCACAAGATTTTCTATGCATGGCAAGGGAGAATTTCTCAACTTTCAAGTTTTCATCAACTTTTTGTCCCATAATCAGTGATAATTCCACCCATATTCTTTAACCAACATGTATATTTTATTCATCTTGTAACCCTTTACAGTTGTCTTTACAAACGGATAAACTCAATTGTTTTGAATTTTCTGCCATCCTACAAAAAATCAAAGCAAACAAGTATCCTACAAAAAATCAAAGCAAACAAGTATATTGTTCATCCCTCCACCATGCACAGAACATCTTGCAATGTTATATAAATTGCAGCATATTTGCATCACAGGATCTGTTAGTGTTATGGTCAAACACTAAAATATAAAACCTTAACGCTACAGTGCTGAAGCTGTAACATCAGTTATAAGCTGATGAAAAATATTTCAGAACCTTCTTGACTGAGAAAGAAATAGAGTCAAATACATGTATATATAGCAAGTTTTGTTTCACTGCAGGCATCAAGAGTCAATTTTTTTATGGAAGTACAGAGTAAAGAATTAAAACATGTTTAATAGATAGTTTTCTTACCCCCTCTTTCAAAACCAACAAAGCTGGTAGTTGGTTAATTGACATGTCATAACACTCCCCAAGCTCATAACAGTGCATACATTTTTCTTCTTTACATGCTGTCGGTGAAACACATTCTAAATGAAATGTGGCTGGGAGAATCTCTGGCTCAATTATTTGACAGATGTATGTGTACACACTCTGAAAAAAAGAGAATGAACCATGGGTGGTTGTGGCCATCTTGAGACTATATTGATCTCCTTTGAAAAAGAGTTTAATATAAAGACACACAAAAATGATCAAATTTTAAAACTACAATGTATGAAATTTATTTTCTGCCAACTGATAGTTGACAGGTTAAGATATCATATATGAAAAATAAGTTATATATCTGATGGTTAATTTGTTGACCCCCCAAGCCTCCTTCATATGCTATGAGATGTATACATTTAAGACACCCTTCACTTCCAAATTGCAGACGGTGACCTACATGTACAAGAGCTGCTCAAACATTTTTTTAATGGCATATTATATCCTAATTTGGTAAACATGTTCTAATATTGAATTCGAATCGTTTGAATTTAAAATTTAATATTGCCAAAAATGTATTACTCTTAACCATCGAATGCATACTTATAGTGAGAAAATCATTCCCACATTTGCTTGTTGTTAAAATATTCCATTAAAATCTTTTCATCATATTAAGTACCATGATAATTTATTTTTTAACAACTCAAAGTGCATAAAACTGTTACTTTAAATCCAAATCAAGTGATAAAGAAGAAAACTGATTCACAAGTAATAACCTTTGTTAAATACATGTACATATATATTATATAAGGATTATTTTCTGCATCATGTTTATGATATGATAACGTGCACTTTTCATGCATCATATGTGATGTATTATACCTGTACTGTGTCTGCATGATGAAATGGCCTGGAAAAAGACATCCCCCCATGATTTTCGTAGATCACGGTCAACATCTTTCCTTTTTCCGGGAATTTCAAGTTGATTCCGTCTGCCATCTTTAAGTTGAAAGTAAAAAGCAATTTAAAATTATGCTTAATGGCTTCTTGGATTCCAATATGACCTTCAAGTACTTTTGCAAATAAGAGTCCATAAGCCATAAAATTAATCCAAGAGACCTTTGCCTTGTTTATCTTTAGATTTTGCATTTTCCACTTTTCACTTCAATAGAAATTACAATCCTATATTTGGCCCAAATAGAATGTTAATTACTAAGCTTGATTCCACATATTGGATGCTTTAACTTCAAAATGATTAACATGATCTTAATGTTCCGGAGGAAATTTGTTTTTACTAGTGATCTCAAAATATTAATTTTCCTTAGTCGAACATTCGATTGCATTATTTGACTTACTTTGATTTACTTGTTTTGAAAAATCCTTGATCATTGAAGGTCAAATAAATTAGTCTAAATTTTATTATGTGTGCAAGTAAATGCACTGGGAAATACAGATTACAAAGGATTACTAAAAAGTAACTTCAGGCATGTAGCAACAGGGGTGGGGGCTAGCCCAGACTTTTTTCTACAATTGAAAATGTTCATTAAAAGACTGGTTGCCCCTCCCTTATTGTTACAGTAAAGTCAAATTAGCCTAGGGTAATGTAGTATTGCAGTAATACAATTTGGTACACCGAAAGATGTGGGAACCTACCCCTAACCCCACCTTATGAAATAGGACTTTTGAGTTTGGGCAATTTTTGTTTTCTTGCTTGTCAACTCTTTTAAGGAAAGTTATTTTTGTTCTCTGCCCCCCCCCCCCCCCCCAAAAAAAAATGATGCTATGGCACTGAACTTCTTGAAAAAAACACTTAAAGACAATATGACTGTATCATAAAGTCAAACCTCCTTTCTCTTGATCTTCTTTTCCATGACCTGCAATAAAGAAACATATAATGATGCATGCATACTTGTAAAGAAAAGTATTCTTGGGAAAAAAAAACTTCCTAAAATCCACTTTGAAAAATAAATATTACTATTTTGAAGATATCAATGGTAAACACTTACATCACAAAATGCTGCAACTTCTTTGTCGATTAGCTGAAAATTATCATAAAATCTGGTATAAACTTGTACATATATGTTGAGAAACTGTCACTTGAATTTATGATTTCTAGATTGATTAATTTTTTATATTAAGAACATGAGGTCCATGGGCCACAACACTCACCTGAGTAACTCTAGCCCTGCTGTTCTTTACCTGAGTTCCCCCATTGTAATACGTATCATAGTCATGCCCTTTCTCAGGGATTCATGATTTGAATATCAGTAATTTCGAATCTTCACTACCCCAGGAAGTTTTGGCTTTTCTAGCTCAGTGGTTCTTGAGAAGATATTTAAAATTTCAAAGGAAAAATTTGATTCCATACTGTATCCAAGCCCTACCTGCGAGGTCATGATTTGAACAATCAGGATGCTACTACAAAGTTTCAGCTTTATTGGCCCAGTGATTCTTGAGAAGATTTTTTAATGACCCACCCTATTTCTGTCTTTTCTCAATTACCTCCCCTTGTAACAAGGTTTGGCCCTTCCTTTTAACAATTTAAACTTCCTATCACCCATGGATGCTTTGTACCAACTCTGGGTTCTTAAGAAGAAATTGAGATTGCGAAAATTTAACAGATGGATGGACTGAAAGCTTAATATTTGGATGGACAATAGGTGATCAGAAAAGCTCACTTAAGCTTTCAGGTCGTGTGAGCTAACAAGATAGCAGTGAGCAAATGTATTATTTGATATTGACAACTTACTGGCAAATCCTCTAATACATCCTCCTTTGAAACCTGAAAGAAGGAACAGTAATTACTTTTATGCCCTGTTTACACAGAGAATTTTCTTGTAATCTGAACTAAATGTAAGTGATTCACATTTAAATGGATAATCTAATATAAATTCATTTAAATAAATTAATTTACAGTGCTTTAATTCACTCCGTATTAGCTCTTTAGCTAATTCAAATTAAAATTTGATGCATGTGGAATCGCAAAATCAAGTCGCCTGCCACATGTCGGTGATCAGGTATAGGTACTTAACTTCTTATGCTATTATTTAGTGTTTGTTTGTTTATTGTTTTTCCCTCTAGAGAATTTTTCACTCTGACAAATGGAAATACTACCTCTGGCCATGGAGAGCTGCAAATTTTGTCCTATACTAGGCACTTACAGCCATTGAGCAGTGAAGGGATCTTTTTTGTGCCAGCACCTACTGCAACACAGGACCTTGGTTTATATGGTCTCATCCAAAGGACTGGTCTCTATGTCCAACAGTGGGATTCAAACCCACAACATAAGGATCAACTCCTTATGTTGCGATTCTGGAGCAGATGCTCTAACCACTGTGCAATGCAGGCGACCATTTATATCATTGCTAGATGTTAAATTATTGCATACCGGGTAAATATTTCTGTACATATCTGTATAATTCCAATCTTAATTTTATTTATTGATTCCTTGTGTTTTGATGATCGATGAATTTTGCAACCAGAACTACTTTCTCGACTGTTGTAAAAACAATGCGACCATTTATATCATTGCTAGATGTTAAATTATTGCATACCGGGTAAATATTTCTGTACATATCTGTATAAATGTATTGTTTAAAGATAACAAATACATTGTTGTCAGTATACATCATATTTACATACCACATCAGGCTTAAGACAGGGTACCTCTATGTCGGGTAGCTCATCAGAAATCTAAAATATATATGAATATACTGTATATACTCGCCTATAAGTCAGTCCGCCTTTAAGTTGATTGAATAATTTCTCTTTATTCTGGTGGGATTTGCCATTGATCCACTTATAAGTCGAATTTGGCAAAATTGGCAAAATTGGGCAACAATTTCAAGTAAATCCATTTATGTTTTAACGTGGTTTCAATTAATATTTTATTTAATGAAACCGATATGTAACCTTGTATCATTAAACAAATAAGTAGTGCTCTCATAAGAAACAAAAATCATTAAAAAATGTAAATACTTGAACTTAATGTATAATCTCAGAATACATGGATTAACATATATACCCAGACATTTGCTTCAATAATTGTCAGAAATTTCAGCATCCAGAAAAATCCCAATCTCTTTAGTTTATGACTCGCCTATAAGTCGGAAATAGAGTTTAAGACCATTTAACTCCCAAAAAACCGACCTAACAGTTTTTACATTTACATGCATTTGTGTTTGCTTGTAATAAATTCATCAGTGCAATTGACGTTACTTTTACTCTGACATATGCCCTAGTTGCATAAATTTGATAATTTAATGGAGACTGAGCATCAATGGCAATATAATTACTTACATGTAAGAGACTACACAAGTTTCTGAACTTGTGTCCGATCCTTTTGACTTTGTCAATAAAATATAATCAATTCATAATTAAGATACTAGTTTATATCTACAGAGGTAAGATCTGTACAGCAAAATCTCCAGATTGAAGAGGTCTCCGGTTTTTAATACGGGTCAAGAAAAAGATTAAACCAAGAGACATATGGGGGACAATTTGTTCTTTTTCATTAAGTTATGTTCAGCTCAAATATCCCCCACTAAGAAGTGTTTTAAATAAAACTGAAAATATTGGATTTATTGGGAATTCTACCACGATTATCGTAAACATGAAAGGAAACCGCCGAACATTATTCTCCAATAAATCACGAACGTCATCAAAAAATTATCAGATCAGAAACGCGTATCAAATCTTAACAATTCAAATGCATGTTTGGCTGTAGAATGAAATACTTGTTTAGACTGCATCAATGTGTCGTCTTTTGCAGTATAAACACTGTAAATTGCATCAAGTTGCTGATGAATGTCGGTTTTTATAGCTAAGCGGGGCTATTCCACGGACCTCCCTACACATTAGACAACGTGATTTTAGCAGTAAAACAGGAACTAGATTTTGTTATTGTATATTCTTTTTAACTTATCAATACATATTACGAACATATTTGTAATTTAAATAGGCTATTTTTTATTTTACGAAAGCTCAAATCGTCTACATTCTATGTACAGGTAAGCAAACAAATTTTACCTCTGGTGTTAAATGAAACAGCATAATCGAGACATGGTGACCTAATTCGTTTCTCTATAGAAGAAACAATTATCCCTAAATTAGCGTTTGTACCATACTTGGTAGAATAGAAATAAAGTCCTTGTTGTCGTGAATGATGCAGAATAACCTCCTCGGTCTCGAAATGTTGTTTGAAATATAAAAGCCTCGGCTAGCGCCTCAGCTTTTATCTTTCAAACGACATTTCTCGACCTCGGAGGTTATTCTGCAACATTCACGAAAACGCGGACTTTATTTCTTAAATGTAGAAATCTACTTGTACTAAAACATACTAGCATACCTCATTTTCAATTATTGGAGAATTCTTTGTTTTTCTCTGGGGTGGCTCCTCTTTCCTCTCTTTTCCTTCTTTTGTTGAGTGCTCCAAACCCTGCACATAACCATAATACAGATTGCTTGAATAATAATTATTACAAGTCATGCAACATTCATTTTAAAAGGGTCAGATCACTTACATAACATTCTGTGGATACTATCAAGTCTCGTTTTCGCTCTTCCTTTTGGGTCTGCAAATGAAATATATTGAGTGACTAAGGTGATTAAAAATCATTATGAATCCTGTTACTGTATGTGTACTACTTTAATAAGCTGGCTTCATATTTTAGCAGCTTTGGCATAGGCAGCAATGCGCAAACTCATGAAACCACTAAGAAATCATTTACATTTTACAAAACATTTAATGGGCATGTGTAGCGCTAATCTAAGATTTCAACATAGTATAGTTTTTGGTAGGGTATGGATATGCCCAACTATTACAGATGTGCCAATGAACTTTCCAGACACTATTAGGAGAGTTTAAGTGGTAGAGAGACAATAAACAAACAACTAGATAGTCATAAAAAATAAATACTTACTGATCTTGATAATTCCAATTTTGGGAGTTTACAATCATCATCAGAATCCTACATTTCAAAAAATGCAAAAATTTCAAGAAGTTCATCACACAAGTTTCTAAAAATGTTGACTAACTGCTTCATATTTGCATCCAGTCTGATCTCTCTGATCAATTAGTCAGTTAACTGCATGTTGCGACCCCTAATAAAAATCTTCAAATATTACATGTAAGTTTAAATGTAAGAGAAATAAACCCTTTATACCTTTATATGATCAGTTATATTAAATAGAGCTCGCTACTCATTACCGGTAGTACATGAGTAAATCATATTTTCATGCATAAAAATATTATCAAAAACATGCAGTTTCTTCTAAACTCTGGTCAATTTTAGAAATTTTGTTGACTTTCCACAATGAGGTTTTGGACTAAGTTTTATATATAAAACATCAGAGGTGGGATCAGGTGTCATGGAGGAGTGAGCATTCCCTGCTAACAGATCACATCTGCTACACAGCTATTTGTGCCATGTACTAACAATAAGTATGAAAAACATCAGTCAGCATTTGACTCAATGATAATTCGATCCTCAACTGTAAAACTGTAATACATGTGTTGTAAATTTTTTTTTTAAATGAAATTCTTTAATTGTAAAGCCAAAGAAAATTCTGGAAATTTGTTTGAAAAATCCCATGCAGCTTTCATCAACAACAATGGCAATTTACTTGTACTAAACTTACATCATTTTCTATAATTATTGGAGAATTCTTTGTTTTTCTCTGGGGTGGCTCCTCTTTCCTCTCTTCTTCTTCTTTTGTTGAGTGCTCCAAACCCTGCACATAACCATAATACAGATTGCTTAAATAATAATTATTACAAGTCATTCATAATTAATTTGTAAACAAGGACAGATAACTTACATAACATTCTGTAGATGCCTTCACGCCTTTTCTCTTTTTCTTTGGGGTTGACGTCTGCAAAGGAAAAATACACATACATGTGTGTTTTCTAAATTCCTTGAACTTCATTTATTTTAAAATTACTTACTGCCTAATTTTTTTCTTTTTTTTTCAAATTGCACTTATGATCTTAGGACATATCAGTAATGAAAACAATTGGAGCAGGAGTCACAAAGCGTAGATCATGATTACAATTGATTTAATTACCTCAAGATCCAGCTCTTCAAAGTCTTCATCAGAAATCTTCAAAAAGAAAAAAAACAACATTTTTTTAAAATTTTTTAAAAGCTCATAATTTTACAAACAATTGGCATTAACTTTAACAGATGTTGGTGATCATTTCTACTTGAAACAAGATGTGTTTGTGAAACACTTATGCCCCCCTCATGGCAGCTAATGGCTAAAAGTTAAACAACAAGGTCAAAAGGACATACTGTATACAGGGTTATTTTCCCCCTTTCAAGCTTACTTTACAATTTTGCTCCATTTTGAATATGCCCATTCACAGTTCTGTTTAAGAAATTATACAGTGTTCTTTAATTTTGAATTCCCCCAATTATGAGGAGGGCAAATGGGCCGAAAACAAAACGGGAATTTTCCAGGTATATAATAATTGTTGATACACAGTAGAATGTGTTCTCAAAGGGAATACACTTGTGAAATATGTAGTCCCTAATACTGACAGTTCAAAAATAATGGCCAAGTTTAAAATTTTTCTTTGGTTGGTCAAACTCTAAGTTCAAGGTCAAAAGGTCAAAATAGTTGGTATCCAAAGAAAGGTTTTGTCTCAAAGAATACACCTTTGAAATAGAAAAACCCAAGTACGTACAGAGTCACGGTTCAAAAATTGCCCATGGTGAAAGTTTTTTAAAGTGGTCAGACTCTTAGATCGAGGTCAAAAGGACAAATATTTTTTTATCCAAAAAATATCTTTTCACAGTAAATTCACATGTGAAATTTGAAAGCCCTAGCACAAACTATTCAGAAGTTACGGCTATGGTTATAAAGTTCAGAAATTTTTTGGTTCAAGTGGGTGAATCTCCAAGGTCAAGAGGTAGAATTTGATGGTACCAAAAGAAAGGTCTTGTCATAAGGGAATACCCCTGAGAAATATGAAAGCTATAGTGCCATCCACTAAAAGTTACGGACAAGGTTAAAGTTTTTGCTGACAGACAGACAAGACTGGGCAAAAACTATATACCCCCGAATCTTTGATTACGGGCATAAAAAAAATACAAAAAGAGGAGATATGGGATTTCTAGAAACATGATTAACTTGTCCCCTAAAATCTTTATTTTAAACTAAGTTAAGGAAGCTGGGTGGGGGATAAATAAACCATCAGATATAACTTAAATTTAAGATATGATATCTTCGACTGTCAGCTTACACTTTGGCAAAGAAAAATTTCATACATTTTAGTTTTAAAATTTAATCATTTTGATATTGTCTTTTACATGGAGCTCTTTTTCTGAAAGAGATCAATATAGTCTGAAAATGGCCACGACCACCCAGCCCTCTTAAATGTTTATCATTTCTTGAAAATAAGTAACATTGTCACCAAATATAAATGTTAGTTTTAAGACAATCCTTTTAGGCATGTCTGCATGTCATTCTGCCCACTATATCATAGTCTTTTGAAGCTTTTTCAACAAAATAGGAAAAGATTAATTAAAAGTTATTGCCATTTTGTAAACACTTTTACTTTAAAATTACTAGTTTCAATATTCTTCAGTTCTTTAGAAGTTTCAATTTACTTAAGAAAAAATTAAATAGAAGTAAACAAAGCATTACATTCTTATTTATACAAATATATCAATTTTTAGTTTGAATTTTTAAAAAGAGAGAATGAACTTAGATATGTGAGCAGAGTGGCAAAAAATACAAATGATGAAACAAAAATGTCAACCAAATCATTACATGCTAGAATTCAAAGATGAAACAAAAAAACAAGCATAATTGTAAATCATTAAAACCTCTGAAAATTTCTCCCCTTTGTATTTTTCTGTAATTTCTCTCCTCTCTACAAACATCAAAAAGTGAAGAAAAATACCAAAGAAAACTTGTCAATCATTTACAATAACTTCCTTATCTGTGCAGCAAACTTCATCTACAACTAACAAGTAGTATATCAAATCTGTTGGAACTTCCTATAATTTGGGATATATCATTAATTATTAAATTACGTCCAGTCTCCTTACATCACATATACATGTAGCTGTCACTGGGCTGCACTATGAATAGCCATGATTTCATTCCGTACATATTGGTACTTTTTGTAATGCCTATAAAGAAATTGCTAGGTGTTCCAAAGAGGTGTATCAGTTCATCAAATTGATGCACCTTTTAGCAGAGAATCAAGTCTCTTTACAGTAATTGTCTGGGAATTAGCTAAAGTAATATATAGATTAACTCATATATCATGTTTATATTATAGTAAAAATCTGTTAAGGTATAATAAGGTATAATACTGATTTCCATGCAATAAGACGTATGCCTTTCTTCAATTAAGAAAATGAATTGAGATTGACTTAGTCTACACTGTATATATAAATATTAGTGATACTTGCTGTCCATCACCCTGCATATAATTATACAGTTAAAAGAATGTTAAGGCAAGCACAAAACAATTCTTTTTTGACATCAATGATTTTAATTAAGTTGGACCTTTATATAAAGATAAAAATTTTGGTAAATACATTGAACTGTTTCAAAGGTGTTTTGTATTTTTTCTAAGAATTAATTGCGAGTAAATACAATGAACATGAGATGACTCAGATGAGGCTATCTATATGTTAATGTTTTTCTGTCCTTTCCTGACGTAGGGTAAAATCATTGAGTCAGCAGGTGGAAGGAATTTTTTTCAAAGAAAATTTCAATATCTATGCAGAATTACTAAATGCTTTACTTAAAAAAAAAGTTGGCAGGATGAGAAAATTCCAGAATGAAAATTTCATAAATGTTCATTTCCTTGGGGTAATACAATTTAAACAAATCTTACATGAGCCATTTTGAGCCAGTCAGTCAGGAGAGGACAACAAACAAAATTTAAAAGATATGGCTTGAGGTTTATACTCAATCAGCTCTTAAAGTATTACCTTTCCCTCTGGCTCTAGCATATATCTTTAATGGCACATATTTTTTGGCTGTCTTTTTTTCCAGATCATCTAGGGAAAATTCTCGGGGGCTCTCAATGGTCTCAATTCCGCAATTTCCCATAATGCAGGGAATGAACTCTATTTTTCCACGAAACATGCCACTAATTTTTGCCATCCAGTTTTCCGCATTCTCGCTGTAGCTTGTTGAAATTTTCAAACAGCCACTAAGTCCACTATTTGTAGGAAAAGCCCTCTTCAATGCCCTGTTTTTACCATCCATTATGTGAACAATCAGTTCCTGCAATGTTAAGCAAACACATCTATATCTTGTACATGTGCCATACATGCACGTTAGTGAAATTATGTATATAAAAAAAATTTAAATTATTTGTGCTCTCTCAGTTAATATAATTCTTTATGCTTAAATTTATTGTTTACATTGTTAATTCTTCATTATCAACTCTTGTTGACATATGTATATATGCATAAATGTGTACATTTTGCATACATGTGAGGAATGATTAACTGTAACATAAAATCAATCCATGGTCTCTCACCTTTGAAATGCTCCTATCTGGTTTTGGTTTAGACTTTAGGTGCAGACTTTTAGGGCCATATTTCTGTTTGAGGAATTCCAAACTTTCTTTGCAACCTTAAAATAATTACTTTAAAATGACTTCACACTAAGAATAGAAAGATGACACATATTATCAAAAAATTTTATCATGTTTATTATGACACAAATTCATACTTATCATACTACTCTATCATAGCAGACTCATTGTCTCAAACAAGTATTATTTTGGGGCATCCTTGGCCCTATGATCAAAAAGACAAATAATTATCTCCTTATAAATATTTACAGGGCAATTACAACTTCCATCACCTCTTGCTCAAGAAAGAACAAGTTTGATTCATAACCTTTTATCAGATTCAAATCTCCTACCAAACCTGGATTCATTTTGCATGTACATGTACTTCATTTTCACACTGCATGCCATTTTAAGAAAAGCATATAAATTTCATAATGACTATTGCATTCAGGTGTTTCCCCACAGGAAATCATCAATGATTTTTATAGGTTGTACAATATACTACACAATCATTAGTAAATTTACCTTTTGATAAGTTTTCTTCAGCAACTTTTAGGTCTGCAGGGAGCACCTCACAATCTTTAAATTTCGAGAAATACATAATAAATTTTTAAAAACTGTGAGATGTGGCATCATAAATACACAGAGTAATAAATTGAGAAAAAAGCACATTTCTTGTGTGCAATTAAATCAACAATTTTTTCATGGGTTGCAATGTAGCTCTCTGGTTGTCCATCC